TCGTTAGTTCAATTCCTTGGTCTCTTCCCTCTAACCATCAAACGAAGCTGTTAACATAATTCTAATTATACCAATAAGAGTTCGAAACTACCATTATAGGATCAAGCTTAAGGGTTTCAATATTTGGGACGCAGAGCACACTAATTTATGTATTAAAAAGGTGAGAAAAAACAGAAGTTACAGAACTATTTATACAACCGTTCTATAGAAAACAATAGAAAAAGTTGAATGGTAAAGAGAAATAAGGAGAAGAAAATCAGTTTCCAATTGTCACACGCATTGTACTTCGTCAATATGTAATCTCACAAATGATTGCCATTTATGTTACTTGCAGCACGATTATTTGTGACATTTGGACGATATCTTGTTACCTGCATGGAAGGCAAGTTGGGGAGTTTACGTTAGATAATGGATGCCAAGTCAAATTGTAAATTACAAGAGTTGGCTTATCAGAAAATGCAATGTGTGGATGATAATTTGGATTCAGAAACCACACCATACGTCTAACAATCATATTGCGTAAAGTTCTGAAATTTTCATATTTGTTTTATTCTTTGCTAAGAAAATCGAAATCAATATCAAAAAGCAACTGCATCCCCTGCAAAATCCTGAAGAGAAATCTTACTAAAATAAACATTAACTGCTATGCTTGTGTTCCGGATCTTTACCATGGCTGCCTCTTTTTCCGGTTGAATTCTGGCCTCAAGAGTAGAGGTCAGAAAGGTCTTCCCATTGGAGCACTTTAAATTAATTCATGAACACACCAAACCCTCTCAAGATTCACACCTGTATGCAATATTTCTATTATGCAAATGTCAGCTGCCTTACAAACTCAAAGGAAGCGCAAGGTAAATGTGAACCTATCAACAATCATGAAGTACAGGATCTGGAAGTACCTGGTAGATGTCAATATAGTATCAAGAAACACACAAAAGAAAGCAATGAAATTCAATTGGAAACAATTCCAGGGAATGTTGTATCTCCCAACTGTTCCAAAAAGATGAATTATGCCCAAGTAGTCTGGCATACAAAGCTCTTCAGAAATCTGCAGACCCCAAGCACGTTGACCATCTTGTTCACAAGGCAAGGAAAACAATACTTCTCACATACTCCTCATTAATTTCCAATGATTGCAAGCAGCTGCTGGAAGCAAAATCCTCTCAGCATTACCACCAGTCCATTCACGAGTTTAACACACCCTGGATTCTAGGGGTCACACGCTCCTTGTAAGAGACTGACCAGCTTCAAAATCTTGAGTTTATTATAAAGTAGAATTCAACTTTACATTGCACATTTCTGAGGAATTGAAGATCTTGTCAATACATCAACCATAAACTGTTCCTTTACATTGTGTTCCCTAGCCCACATGCTGTCTGCACCTGGTTAGAATCTTAAGGCATATGTTGAATCATCTTCCTTCTCCACCCCCAAAAAAAAACACTGCATCCATGAAAGAATCCTGCAAAATTACAAAGTATAAACAAATAGCTGACAGGATTTAGTTAACTAAACTTTAATAGAAGACCAACAATATATGCCAGCAGTTATTCATACACTAGAATTTAACAAAATAAAACCCTTAACAATTACTTCAATAGAAGCTGATGTAACCGAAAATTGCTATTGTGGGATCTGACATGCACTTCTCACCCAACCATAAATTGATAAAACTAAACAAAAACCTGAAAGAAAGTTGCAACAGATACAGGCAGGAGTGCAGCACAATATGAAAACAAATTTACCATTTAATAATTGTTTTCAAAGAAAAAAAAAAATGGAAAAGAAAAGAAGGATCCATAATACCAATCCACAAAAAGGAACAGAAACTACACTCCCTGTCTTGAATTGAGAAGAAAAAACATAAAATACACTTAGGTCTGAGCATGAAATGTGCCTGCTAAACTGAAATAAGAAGTCCAATAACTCCTGAGCTTTATAGATCGACATGGCTCTTTGTAAAACGCTAATCAACTTTACACTAGTTGATCTAGTCGCTGCAAACTAGGCAGCATTTTCTGGCATTAGAAGTCATATAGAAAAAAAACCTATTTCAAGATGCTTTATTGGAAGAAATATTAATACTCAGACACTATGAATGATCACAAAGGAAAAAGGAATCATATAATCTAGTGAGGAAAGAAATAAATTCAACACAAAATTACTGTATCATACAACCAATAATACAAGATTTTTATGGTCATTAATGACATCGATGTACACCATAAGAAACAAGCTTTAGGTATCTATAGTTCATAAACCACCAATTTTTTCTAGTCACCTTAAAAAGTTATGCAAACTAGAATTCTAGGGGAACAATAATATCTCTTCAAATTGGCAGAGGATATCTGCAGCCTCCATTAATGCATCACAAGAAACTTCTCACACGTAGCAAGAAAGCATAACATCAAATTATCACAAATTGCTGACTCCATAGATGTATCACTAGAATCTTCATCACCACATCCATAGCTAAAAACAGAATATAGAATATTTAGTCAATGTGGTAAGATAGATTCCAACTTAACATATCAATAAAAGAGCCAGATGAATTACCATCATCATCATCATCATTCATCATCATTTCGCTGACGAAATGCGCTGAAATGAAGACATCCAGCTACCGGAAGGCCCAACTTTGTTTCCATGTCCATGTCCAGGATTGGCAACTTCAGTGGGCAACAAGGGTTTCTGTGTATTTCTTTTTGAAGGGCCAGAGTGTGAAAATGAATTAGAAGACATGTGAGCATCATTGAATATCTGCAAAAAAACTCCATCAATGAGTTTTACTCAACATGGATTTAATTAAAGCATAGTTGCAAAATAAATAGGGATTTAAGGATTATGAGCATTCCATCATTAAAATAATAATAATAAAACCCACCAATATGGTAATTTGATAAAATTTTACACAAATATGTATTGCCTAAACAAGCATACATAACAGAATCTTCCATCACTATCTTGAAACAGAAAACTTACATTTTTGTCGGCAGGATTGTCAGGAACCAGATTCTTTCCTTTTACTGATTTAAATTGCATACGCACAGCTGGACCTGTGGTGTTGTTTGATCTAACATGCTCTGTCACATCAGCTGAATAAGGAGCATTTAAGCCTCCTAGAGATGAGAGAATTACCAAATCTTAATATTATTTCTAAGTATTCTTCAAAAAAAAAAAAATATTATTTCTAAGTAAAACAAAAATCATTTCAGTGTAAAAAACTAAACTTGGTAATGACAGCTTTGAGATCTAATCAAAGCTAATGCTCATCTGTATTAGCTTTCTTTCTATCTTGGCCCCATCTCGTGAAATTATGTTTTTTACCTAAATATATTAATTTTTGCAGGAACTACCATCTCGCTTGTATATTTTACCTAACTGAAGCAGGAGTTGCGTTCTAAAAATTTAGGTCTTCCCTGACTTTCCAACCACCTCCTATATATCCACTTAATAGAGCAAAGATAAGGAGTAAAAAGATGGAGCTAAACAAACCATTTCTTGTGAATCTCATAATAAAGGAAAACACATAGGAAATGCATGGAGATTGCAGAGTTAGAAGCATAAACTGCATGTTCACCGTGCCATGGGATTGGAGTAACCTTCCTTCACTCTAAACTTTCGATGTACCACAAGAAAAATGACAGTGGACCGTCTTTAACTTTTCAGTAGTTAGAAATTCGAAAAAAGAGAATATTTGAAGGGCTATTGTTTTGTCCTCAAAGCCTACATTTGCCATTTGGCCCAAAAACATGACCCTTCTTGATCCCACTTGGTTTATCAAAGCCGTTATAAAAAATATTGCCACTGCTGGAACTCAATGCTAAAACCTGAGATATTTTTGGTAAAATCAATCCCCAAATTAAGAGGGGATAGAAGATTCATGATTTTACCTGCTTTAGAGTGCAGTCATTATCATACAACTTTATGTCTAAAATATCTTCAGAAACATATTTTTTCCAAGGACAAAGCATATGTTGTATGATTTTGAATAAAATAAACAAGAAAATGGTTGCCTATCTTTTCTTTTGATATGCTTAATTGTTAATTTGCTACCATCTTGTTCCTAAAATATCTCCACTGCATTAGGAGACAGAATAAAAAATTACTGATACTATGGTTTAAATCATCAGCAGTAAATCAAACAATTACGATACCTTTAAAACCAAGTATAGCTATAAAATCAAGACCAGCCAATAATACAGGGAGTGTCTTTGTTATAGGGTTTCAACTTTCAACTTATCACAGGGCTTCCTTTACTTTCCAATTGTGATTTTCGACAAATTACAACAGTCATTTGAGATCACAAAATGCATCAGCAGGAGCTAACCTTGATGATTGTCCGCATCCCCTGGCAATGCATGACAAGCGCTACCCCCTGGAGCTGGCTGTATTGCAGTAGAAATTCAATGTTCAAGCATTAGATACCAAACATACCCAATTCTAATAGAACTTATAAATACATTTTACCAAAAATATGAAGAAAATGAAGGGACACCAACATAGACACTTACAGACAATCGAGGCTGAGATCTACTTTTCTGTGCCTGCTGGTACTTTATGATTGTCCAATCAAATATGTAGTCGAATTCATACCCTGCAACAAACAGAACCAAAAATTAGTTTATGCCAGATTATAGATATAGAATTATCCATCCATAAATATTTTCTACTTCTAATCCAGTTGTTCTTTATTCTCGCCCATTAAGCCAACCAATTTTACGTCTTTTCTTTACCCTTGAAATGCATCTTTTACTCAATGTTAAACAAGTCAGAGGCAAAACCAAGAAAAGAAATTTAGCAATCAGCAAGCCCTCTAGTACTATTAAGGAAAATGATTCTCTAATGAACATAGTGAAACAAGGTCCCATGCAGTACATGCTTTCTAAGATAGAAGATGAAACTGTCAAACCTTATTGGCTTCTAAAATCTTTCAGGTTAAGACATCTAGATGCATAATCCATACAATTTAAATAGAAGGACTGGTAAGTAGAATGGATTCTTCAATACCTTCACGAGCAAATAAATCACGGAACAGACGCTTTAAGAATCCATAATCAGGACGCTGATCAAATGTCAACGAGTGGCAATAATGGAAGTATGATCCGAACTCCACTGGATGTGATTTACATAGAACCTTCAAGATAAAAACACGTGTTAATTGCTAATAATTGAATTGCAATTTTCTCAAAGGAAAACGACAAAAATAGACATACCTCAATAGGAGTTGATACCTTCTTCTCACATATTTTGTCATATTTCTGCTTCTTTGTGGCAGCTTTTAAACCTTGCCATGGAAGGCTGATTATAAAAACATCTAAGTCAGTTTAACACCAAAACATATACACCTGAAACATTACTGGAGGAAATCAGCGGTTTTTTTTTACGTTGAAAATAGATTAACATAGATATTTTACCTTCCTCTGAGAAAATATAGAAGCACATAGCCAAGTGACTCCAGATCATCCCGCCGACTTTGCTCTACAAAGAAGATATTCAAGTGAAAATATAAATAAAGGTTCACCTCAGCAAAAAGTTAAACCAAACAGGAAAACAAACACGCTTTATTTACCAATTCCAAGATGTGTATTGCAACTTGCATAACGTGCAGTCCCTGTTAAGTTCTTGTTTTCCCTGTAAGGAACAATGGTTAGTTATGTCAGCAACTGCAAATGAAAATGTAATATCACAACCACAAAGAGGCATTATACACCAGGCAAGTTAAGAAATCAAAAGGCAATCAACATAACATCTATGACTGAAATTACTTGTAAGGGATGTGGCGATTAGTTGCTGAGTCCCGGTATCTTTTTGCAAGCCCAAAATCAATTATGTAAACCTGATAGGTGCAATACAAATATAAGAAAGACTTAATTAAAGATGGACAGAGGTCCAAGAATCTAAGACTCCAAATTAATTGAGATAGAAAGAAGATGTTACTAAGTACTACCTGATTTGCTTTGCGGCCAAGACCCATTAAGAAGTTATCAGGTTTTATATCTCTATGCAAAAACCCCTTAGAGTGCACAAATTCTATTCTTGATATCTGAAACGGAAAAAATAGTCAAAGAAAATAAGAAATTAACACCTTAAAATAGACATACATGCCCAAGCTGCAAAGAAGTTAGGGTGAGTACAGATTTGAGCTCAGGGTTTTACCCACCATTTGATCAGCCAACATAAGGACTGTCTTCAATGAAAACTTCCTCCCACAATACACAAACAGATCTTCAAGGCTTGGTCCCAGCAAATCAATGACAAGTAAATTGTCCTCACCATCTACACCAGACCATTTTATGCTAGGGATTCCACCTGCATAAAGAAAAAATGCTCATCAGAATAACAAATTCAAAACCATAAACAGGGAGTTCTTTTGCAATCAACAAAGCACGCATTAACAAATGCAAGTGTGTGAGGATACATACTCCCCCCTTGAAGAATATGGTATAATTTGGCCTCATATAGCAGCTGTGGATGCTTTGTTTTATTGTTCTCCTGCAACCAGAAAAAAATACAATAAAGACACAAACTATATATATGGGGAACACAAGCGATTTCTAGCCAGCTCCAATGGTGTTAATCACTGTAGTCTGTAGTAGCATCAATCTATACTGCTCAAATTTCCGCCATAACCACAAACTAAGATTATCATACAAGATTTTGTCTGCAGTTGTCAAGAAATGTGCATCCGATTATCATACAAGATTGAGCTCGACTTAAAGCAATAAAAATCAGTTAAGGCTTACGATCTTAACAGCGACGATCTCGAAGGTGTCGATATGCGTAGCTGCCAAGAGAATAAAAAAATTCAAACAGATCAGCCAACTACAAACACAGATTTAGAGATCTTTATGAACAAAACACACAAAAAACAAAATCATTCGCATAGATGAAGACGAACCGAGATGTATTTCACCGAACGATCCACTGCCGATCTTGCGGCCGAGCTTGTACTTGCCACCGACGATCCGTTCCATGATGAAGCGACTCGATTAGATCACGAAAACCACGGTCTCCGCAAGATTGTTTCTCCGACGAGATTCCGGTGATGGATTTGAAGGAATTAACAAATGCTTGTGCTGTTATTGCGCCACTCTGTGGATTATATATGAGAGAAAATTTGAAATCACAGAGGAGAAATTCGTAACAAACGACGGAGCTGCGTTGGTTTTGAAGGGGAGAGGATAAAGATAGCGGAATAGGAAACAAAGGGTAGTTTTGGGATTGGAGTTAGGTAGGGGGATATCGTTGACCAAGGACAGTTTAGGTTTTCTGGGAAAAAAACCCTGAATTGGTCCTTATACTTTTATGATTTTGTTAATTAAACTTAAAATTAAAACTTTTGTCCAATTGAGCCAACTTTCAATTTGAATTATAAGAGCATGTACAACGCATATTCTGTTTGGTGTTATTTTCTCAAAATAAAACAAAAACAAAACTTTTACTCATTAGACTTATATTCTTAAAATAGCTTATTCTCTACACAAAACATGTTATATTTTCTTTTTTTAACATTAAAAGTTACCTTATAAGGAGAAATGGGCTATAGTGCTTGTGTTAGGCGTTGTAGTTGAAGTTTTATCCAACGCCAAAATGCTGTTGGATCCAACATTTCTATTTTTTTTTTTCAAAATTTTAATCCAAAGTTGTTTTATTTGAATATAAAAAATATAGGTTGAATAAAATAATATTAGTATAAATTTTAAAAAAACCTTTATACATTAAATGGGAGGTGTTCTGTTTGAATTAAATATATAAAAATGTGAATTTATATAAAATAATATTAATTGTGATGATATGATACCAAAGTAAGTTTTTTTATTGTTCCTCATACATACTTGAAGGGCCATAAGGCCCAAAAGTTATGGCCCAAAAGTATTTTGCAATTATATGATTAAAATGAATATTTCCTTAATTTTTTTATAGATATTAATCTGTTAATTATGAGTATTAACTATTAATAAACCAAATCATATAATAAAATTTTTCATAAAATATCATATAATAAAAGCAATTAATTCAATAAACAAAATAAAATTTAATCTTTCAAAAACTTAAGTAGTATACATGAAAAATAACTCTAAGATGAAAGGCATAATTACAAAAATGAAATATTAACAGCTTAAAGTGATTTAGTAATAATTTCTTTTTAGTAAAAATAAAAATATATTTGGTTTGTGCATTTGAATAATTTAAAAGAATTAAATAAATTAAAAGCAAAAATAAAATAAGGGAAGCTTCTTTGCTCCCCTTCTCACCAACTTTTTATTTTTCAACCAAATAAAGTGTTTCCCCTTTGTTTTTACAAATCAAACATACTTTAAAAAAGTTAGGTTTGAATTATATGACGTATAAGTGGAGTAATCATAATAATAAAAAAAAAAAGCACAACAATAAAATTATAAGCAAAAAAGACCCTCACCAAGGGTAAATTATATTCTTTAAATTTGTTAAATGTTTGAGTTTGGTGGATCTTTTTTATTTGTTCAATTGAAATGAATTAATCAATAGTTTTGATTAATTATTTAAAATTATATCATTTACATCTATTTTAACCTTATTTATAAAAGTAGAGAGTTGTAGGCTCAATTGATTATAAAGAATCTTTAGAGGCCTGATTATGAAGCTTAAAAAAGTCCAAATGCTAGCTTGGAGACTTTTTCCTTTTTTGGTCTAATTGAGGTAATTTTGGTTTTGCCATTGTTAATTGTAGGAGAGAGGGCCCGACCAAAGAAATATTCCTTTTCTTTATGGCAAACCAAAGAATGATATTTCGGTCAGCTTTGTCGTCTCCAGAGCACGTTGTCAACTTTTCTTTCCTTTTTAGACGATTAAGAGTGCTCGACAAGGTACGTATTTTCAAGATTGGAAATACCACACGCATAATGTTTCTTACATAATGCTATATTGCTATGCATATTTTTTTGTTTTAAAATAATATAAAATAAGTAAATATATATAATGTTGATTATAATTTTTTAAAAATAATTTCTTTTTAATGATTTTAAGATAACTTGTACTTATTCAAAATCTAGTAAAATTACAAAGATTTTTTTGAAAAATGCCTTTGACTCTTTCAAATTTGAAATTATTTATTTTTGTACAATTGAATTTCTAATTTTCTCAATCCATTCATGGTAAAAGTAAGATTAAGAGAAAACACAGAAGTGAATGAAATTGTCAAATCAACCAATCTGGAGACTGACTTTAACAAAATTTCTAGAGAAACAGAAAACAAAACAAAAAAAAAATTCTTCAATTTGAAGTGGTCCTACTACAGCATGAGAATGAATCACAAAAAATAAGGGTAAAAATTGGACAATTGACAAAGCAGCAGCTCCTGCAAGTTATTTCATCAGTTTTTTTCGAGGTCATGCCTGCTTGATTTGAACCCACACTGCAACGCTAGGGACGCCATTGAAATTCACGAAAAGCATGTAATAACCAGGAGGAGCAATGTTACCGGAAGGAGGTCCGGTGGCAACGATGTTGTGGATACCGGCGTAAACATTGCTCTTCACGTCAACAATTCCCAATTGAACCAGTCTCTGGTTCATGGATATCCCATGAGTGGTGAATGGCGGCGAGTACATTGTCACCTGAAGCTTGGTCTTATCCAATTTAAACTGGGGAGACCTGACCTGAATCATTACCTTCTCTCCATATTTCAACTGGGTGGTCATCGCATCCGCCACAATCTGTACTCTTTCCTTGGATCTTGTCGGGTCCAAATATTGTGGGGAGAATTTCTCCACGCGAAGCTCAGTGGGGAACAAAGCGTCGAACAGGTAACCATTATTTGTGTTACTCCCGGCCACCATGACTTTCCCATCAGGGAGCAATGCGGAAGTTGAGTGGTACATTCGAGCAATTTTAGAGGGTTCCAGTTCTCTAAACCGTTCATTTTCAGATGCTCTGGTTCTGTACATAACAGGGGTAAAATTTGGCTCCCTCGCATCGTCCCATCCGGCCGAACCTGCCTTGGCACCGTTAAGCAAGAGAACATCTCCGGTCGGAAGAATAATTGCATCACCTAGAATTCGCGGTGACGGCATCTTTTCGATTTTCCATTCAGGTTTTGACTCTGTAATCTTGATCCGTCCGCAATCATCATTAGCAGGGTTAAATAACTTAGGCCTGTTTCTATCCGCCCAAAAGAAGGCATCATTTTTTGCTCCTCCACAAACCAACACCTCAGCCTGTATTTTTTTGTCCTCTTCCTGATTGGGTTGGATGACAATTGGTAGGAGGACTGACGAGGCGGATGCAGGGTAGCACCGGGAGCCACCAGGGAGAACAGGGAACTCCATGACGGTCTTTTGGGTGTTGGGATCCAATAGTATGGATCGGTTGTTGGCAAAAACGAAGAGATTACCATCGGTGGAGAGGTAGACGAATGGGTATAGATTGTTCTCGTCGGGGTCCTTGGTTTCGACCAAGAAGGGGAAAAGGATGGGTTGGGTGTTACCCTGTCCCTCCGCCGGAAGGAATTCATAGGTTGGACTGTCCCGGCCGCCAAAAACGATGAACCTACCATCACCTAAAGTTACCTGTGTCGAGTACCTTTTGATAGCAATGCAAAAAAAATGTGTCAATTTCTTGGGAACTAAAATGATATCAAATTGAAGTTTGGGGACTAAAGTATCTAATTTTAAAAGATTGAGGGCCAAAAAGAGAATTTATTCTGTGATTATTAGTTCCCTGTTCCTAGTTCCTACCATCTTCCGTTGGCAAGGGTGCCTGGATACTCCCTCCAAGGGGAATTATCACCCAAGCTGAGGTATCTAGCAGTGTCGGATCCATTCCTAAAGCCGCCTGTGCTCACTAGAGTTCCGTCAATGGCAAGAGCACCGGACGAACACCACGTGTCAAAATTAAGCTGTCATGGAAAAATTATGGAAAATGATTTGAGTATATCATTTTTAACTGTGAAATTAAATTAAGAGAAAAAAAAAATTGAGATGATCATGACTGCACAAACCCTCAGAGGAACAAGTTCTTTAGTCTCAATGTCAAGCAAAACGGAATGAGCATAACAATCATGGATTACTCCTTGGCCTTCGTCGACCATACGGCACGGCTCACCTTTTGGCAGCATAATGTTGGATTTGAGCCAAATGGTGGAATCAAACATGAGGACCTTGTTGATCTTGGGGAGCAAGATCAAGTGCATGGCTGAGACGCCGGAGTTTTCGGTGAACAGCTCCCATCGGCCCTTGAAATTGGGCTTGTCTTTTTTGGGTTTGGGGGTGTTGTCGTCCGAAGGGGTGGCGCCTAAGGGAAAATCGAAACCAAGATCTTTTATGAATGAAGGAAAGGGATCCCTGAAAAAATTGCAGTTCCCGGTAACAATCAGGAGAAGAAGACAGAGGGCTCTTAATAGCATCGTCGTGGAAGAATGTTTTTGCATGAGACTACGTTTCTTGGTGGGGCAGCTTACGCCTCTTTTTATACTTTACCATTCCCTCATTTCTCTATAATCTGAGGCTGAAAACTTTGGAAATAGAACAAGGGCCTTGCCAGATTAGTGAATGCTCCCTATTTAGGAGGGGAAATGGTTGGATGTTACAGGAAGAACTAATTAAAGAAACATAATGTGTAGCAAAGAGAAAGGAAATGAGTTTAATTTGCAGTAGTATTAGCCGTGACCAATAAATTAGTCTTCTTCTATTGTAATTTTTTCTTGACTAGCGAACTAAAATATGATTGATGCTTATATAAAATATTCTAATACTTATACAAAGCATTTTAGAATTTTACAATTTAAACCATAAAACACTAATTATTGTATTAGAGTAGTCCACTTCTACCATTTAAAGTCTCATTAATACGATAATTGGTGTTTTACGACCCATGTGGTCTAAAAGTATAAAACCTTTTGCATATAAAATGTCAAATAATAAACAAATTCAACTTTTGTTCCAAGGTGTGCTTGTAGTATCTTATTCTGTATCAATGAAATTTCATTTCTACCCAAGAAATGAAAAAGAAAAACAAAACAAAAGTGGCTAGTATAACTCGTCCTAGTGGCAACAATCAAACAAGAAAATCTGCATCTAACATACTTCTCTTCAGCATTTAAGTGTCTAAAAACAACTTCTATTGATTTACCCTTGATTCATATGAAAGATCTCTTGATTTTATCCTCAAAAAAACCCTTTGCACAAAAAAAAATTACCTCTACTTATAAATTAGTACTATTTTTTGTCTTATCTTTAGATGCGAGTTTTTAATAATATGGTACTTTCCACTAGTAGAGAACATTTTTTTTTACCTAATTCTACAATAGTAAGTAACTTTTGAATTAGCAAAGGGTCAAGGCAAACTTGCAAAAAGGTTCCTATTCTTCTTCGAATCTCATTACTTAAGAAGGAAGGAGAGAAGTCAATCGAAGAAGAAGAGTAATGCAGAAGCAAATTTCCTCTTTAGATAAGTAAATAAACAGGCTTTGCCTTTAGGTCTCATCAGTTCTAATCTTTTCTTTGATTGACAATAATACAGTTAGTTTGTCCTAATCAAAGCACTGCATAATTAATACAAAATAAAGCACCCAACTTTTCGGCTAGTTGAGGGAAAAATTAACAGGGCAAAACTCAATCAAACACATCAAAATCCCCTATGAATTTTACCACTTTTTTGCATAATGAATTTCACTTGAAAAATGATGTACATGAGTTGTTTTTCATCCTAATTTCATAAACCCTAATTTCAAGGGACAAAAAAAGAAATAAGAAAATAAAACCCTAATTAGGAATAATATCCCTAGATTTTTTGGTTTGATCCAATTAACCCTAATTTCATGTCTCCACTATTTCTCTCGAGGCAAATTTCATTTCCATTAATGAATGTTCTAAAGTATATATAAAGAAACAATTCAAGACACAACAACACAAATAAAGTTTTGTGTCTTAGTTTTGCCTAGTTAATTTAAAATCTTTCACATATACCTATAATACTTGGTTTGGTTGAAAAAACATGTTTTCCATGTCATGTTTAGTTTTAATGAAAATAATGCATGATTATAATGTCGCATAATTATAATGTCACATAATATTATAAATTAACTTACAAATCATAATATTTGATTATATGATTGATATTTTTCATTTAGAGATTCATTCTTGATGTTATATGTATCAATCCACTTAGTTAATGACTTGTATAAACTTACAAATTTTACATGACATTGAAATTATGTCATTGCTGTTAATTTATTCCTCAAACCTTTTTGGGTCTTTAATAAAGTAAATAATTATTTAGCAATTGAAATAACTTGATTCAATATCCAATGAATGGAACTAGAATTTGTTCAGGTGAAAGTACTAGTGTTGGATGCCGTCTGCTTGCCCCCAGAAAAAAAATCAAGAATTTGCAAAGTAAGAAAAAAGAAAAGAAAACAAAAAACTTTGTTGCTTTCTCATCCTTGAAAATTCATGAACAGTGAGAAATTTCTCGTTACACAAGACAATCCCTTCCCAAGAAACATAAGACAATCTAAAGTTCATCTATGCTTGCTCAAATTATGTGCAATTTCCCAAGGATCAAGTTGCTTGTCTTGAACTTACAATTTTAAGCTCAACGCATAAAATGCCATTGACTAAAGCGATAATCTTAGCTCCAAATCTGGTTCTTGTGTTTCACTTGATTCTGAATTTTGACTGGTAGAGCCCACTGATGAGTGGCTCCGGTGTTTTTTGTTCTTCTTTGGTTGTGCATCCTATAGTTAAGGAGGAAAGAGGATAAACAGGTTAATTACAAATCTAATATATATAAGAAAGAGCAACAGATTCATGATATAGCAACCTCAACAACTGGGCTTAGGAAGTGCCTGGTCATGCTTGGTTGTCCAAAATGTTGAGTATCTAACATGCCACTGCTGGGGTTCCAACTGATTTAGAATTAAAACAAGCATATCTTAGAACCAAATTCACCAAGAAGGAAACCGAATATCTCACCATAAAATGGAGAAAGAAATGGGAGAATATATGTACAACAATTCACCTTGCAGCAGTAGATTGGGAATCACCATATCTGATGTTTCCTCTTTCATATTCTCCTACCCCCATCTGCAGTATAAGGGAGAAGCATATCAATTCACTCACCAATACGAATGATATATATATATAGCATCACACCAACCATGGCAACCATGATCATGGAACAGCAGATTTAGAATTTCTTAGGAACAAAAATCTAGGGTTTGTGTCTAGAAAGTAACATATATAATTAGAAACTTCTACACAAATCGTCTCAAAAATATTTTGGCAGCAAAAACAAGAAAAACCATTTCCATCAGAAGTGAATGGTGACTGTGATGGTAATGGTGATGACTGTTTCCCACACTCAATGCAAATCCCATCAAAGTGGTGAGGCACAAAATCATGTCTGGAGAAGGTTATGTACCATCATGCTGGGTTGGAATCCATAAGAAGCTGAGGAAGCTGATGAGGATGATGAATAGGGAAAAGAAGAAGATGTTGAAATGGATGAATAAGCAGCAGCACCTGTACTCTGCAATCTCATATCTTCCTGCATGAAATTCATTAACAAAAAAGCATTATATCTCACGAAATTCCACAACTTCTTAACCTAGGAGGAAGATTAAAAAGAAGAGAAGAACCTGATGGAAATTATTAGGGTATGGAGAAGGAAGTGGGGGGTATTGGTAGCTGCTGCAACCCATTTGGCCATGTAATCTGATCTTCTCCAATTGAGCAACACCAAGCCCTCTCTGTGGCTGCTTTGGCTTATCTGAGTTCTTCTTCCCTTTTCTTGAAGATCCTGTTCCTCTTCCATCATTTCCCATGTTTGGCTCTCCAAAATAATTGCTACCCATCTCTTGATTTCTCTTTTTCAATAGTTGATATAAAGCAAAAGAGAAGAAGTGTTTTTGCAAATCCCAATCTTTCTTGGCAAAGGAGGGAGGAGGAAGAGATATAGCTGAGAAATCAGGGATCTCCAATACCCTCTTTTTAAGCAGGCTATGCGCCAGAGAGTAATTATTGCCTTGCTGGATCAGATTTTCTACAGATTTAATATATACATAGATTTTATGCTTTTTGCCATCTTCTCTCTCTTTTGCATCAATTTGAGAACTTCCATAATTTCTTTATTCCAATATATAACAACCATAAATAATTGCTATTATATGCTAAATTTATAATAAATTTTTGTTTGGTTCCTTTTAGTTATGCACTTGAAGTCTACGATTCTTTTTTTTTTTTTTTGGGCGTGGAATGAAAGTGATCGTCTCCATATCAAAATTAAAAAAAAAAAGGAATTTCTTTATATATAATTATCAGAAATGAAAAGTTGTACATGTATAATAAGACATTGTAAAGTTGGAACAAATTACATTTAAATTATAGATTCTATAGAAATCATGTTTGGCATGCAGCTCAACAGGGATTTTTTTTTTTTCTCTAGGGAGAAATCAAAGATATTCATGGAATTTATATATCCAAAACTTAAATACAATATTCTTTTGAATGTGAAAGAGAGACTTGAATGTAAAATATATATATTTCTCAAAGGAGTTTCTTTGGGAAATATGGTAAATCAATGCTGAATATATATATATATACACTATATATATAAGAGTTAATTTGACCCAAAAGATATTGATAATTTGGACAAGATTTGGTGATTAATTAACAAATTTTTGTTAAGGAACCAAATCTAATTGAGCTGTTTAACGCATGATTTGTGGGTCATATTTCATGAGTTGTTTGTGTGGTGGAAAGTGAAGAATCTTCCAATTTCTCATAAAGACATGTGAACTTAACGCAATTACCAAAGAAACCCTTAAGCTCTCCCTAACCCCTAAGTAAGTATGTCATCATTGCCTAATTAAAGACTTAACCACCCATTAAAACAAGGGCAAATTGCAATTACCTTAAAATTCGGTAGGTGCACTTAAATCCCCTAAATCACAAAAATATACACTTGACTCTATCTACATGTGGTTAAAAAATTTACATAATTCTCAAATAAAGAAAGAAATTTTCTAAGAGCACAGTTAATTGCATCTATTATACTTTTTTTATTATTAATTTTTTTAAAAAATAGAAGTTAATTTTAGTTTTATCAATCTTTTAATTAAAATATTTCATTTGACATTAGAATTAAAAATAAAGTCCACTTTTTTAATTTTCTATACAAATTATTAACAAAAATATACAATAAATATATTTTTAACATGTGTGTGCCCTTGAAACACATCTTAAAGAAATTTATTAAAAAAATGTACTTTTGATTGCTTATAATTTGAAAAATATGCACTTCAGTGCCTCAAATTTATTAATATTGGGATTAACTAATGTATACGGGTTTGGGTACCCCTTGTATTCATTCAATTAAATCTTTTGCCTTTCGAAAAAAAAAAAGTTTATTAATATTGAAGATG